AGGTCCTTGACCCCATGAGTCCTAGAGCTGAAGGCCATCATGGGACAGACCCTTCCCATCCCTCTACCTGGCTCTCCCCCATCCCTGTGTGGTCCTGCATGTTTGTTTGCACAAGGCTGATGACGCTGGCTCACACACCTCAGCACTCATGCTCGGGTGCTCCTGCCCCAGGCTTGGCTTATCCTCCTGATCCCCTTCCTGCAAGGCTTGGCTGTGGATGGAAACATCCGCCACCTCCACGGAGCTTTTTGCCTCCCTCCTCTCCGTCAGTGCCTCCTGTGGGGTCCTTCTGTGCCATGACATTGTGGGATGGAGATGGGGTTTGGCACAGGAAGAGGGGACAGGAACAGGGAGAGATACAGGGACAGGAATGGGGATGGTGCTGGAAGGTGCTTTCCAGAACAAACCACCTGGCACAGCCTGACTCACTGCCCCAGGGATGGGTCATGGTTTCAGCTTCATCCTCCCGGGGCGCAGTCCTGGCTCCCCGCCTGGATGACAATGGGGACAGCGGGATGGGGGAAACTACACCAGGGAGGTGGCAGAGGTTGAGCCACCCTGGGAGGTGCTGACATGAGGCACCCTTCTTTTCAGGCACCAGCGTGGGGCTGCTGGGGTGGCAGGGATGTGCTGGGGGTCAATGGGGCTGGATGAGGAGGCCCAAGAGCAGGCAGGATCCCATGGGGGAAGTTATGGCTGGGTGACAGCTGTCTCTCCCTCCAGTATGCTCTGCTAGGAGCCACTCTCCCCCTCCACTGCCCCAGTTTGGGGGCCCTTACTCCTTGCTGCTTCCCATGCAGGCTCATTAGCGAGTTCAGGGCGAGGAAACCCATTAATGGCACGAAATGACTTCAGGCTGTGGCACGGGGAGCGGAGATCCGAGCCCAAACCCTCGCGCAGAGCGGGGACTGCTGCTTTTCCCCTTCCCTTTGAACTTCCCCAGCTGCCCGGAGCTGCGGTTCCCTTGAGCACAGACCAGGGCATCTGGGATGTTGGGACACAGCAGGGTGCGGTACCCGTATCCCCCACCCACTGCTGCGCCTTCCCCCTCCACGGGCTCAACCCATCCAGCCTGGCTTCAGGGCAGTCCTCGGGTTCACAGCATCACTCTGGAGCATCTGGCTCTTGCAACAGGATGGGTCATTGGAGTTTTGGTTTTGCCAGGCTCCCGGTCATGCCACCCCCAGGGGAAGAGGTGGAGGGGGCAGGGGCGCTGCCAGGGCCCGGAAAGCCCTGCACTGGTCGCAAAGCCAGCGTGCCGGGAGGTGGCCGGGGGCCCTGCGTGACTCAGTCCGCCGTGGAGGAGGCAGAGGTGGGGTAGCGATACCAGAGCTAAAAAAAACCTGGCCGAGCGCCGGGGAGAGGAAATTTCTCATTAGCCAGAAATGTGTGGCTGAACCAGTCTGACACCCGGAGCGGCCCCCGGCCCCGGCGGCGATACTGGCCCCGGCTCCGAGGGAGATCAAAGTGGGAAGAGGAGCAACAAGGGGCCTCGGGGGCGGGGATGAGGGGGGCAGGGCGAAGGGGTCCGCCGGTGTGGAGATGTCAGATTTGGGTGGCAGGAGGGGCTGGGTGGGCAGTGTCCTGGTTGATGTTGCTCCACAGGGTGCAGGCAGCAATATCTGTGATACTCTGGGGATGGGCAGGGGTGATGGTCAGTGAAACCCAGGCAAGGCAAGCTGGCAGGGACTAGGGCATTTCTAGCTATCGCTCCTGCCCACGTGGCAGTCCTTTGGTCCTCTCATTCCCAAAGGAGTCAACGTTTCTAGCCAGGGCAGCCCTTGGTGGCAGCCTCAGCCCTACCAGCAGGGCCACCATTGCTTTCCATCTGATTTTCCCCTGCAGACTCAGCCTTTCCCAGACCACACTGGGTCGAGGCATTTCCCTGGTCTTGTTTAATAACCCAAATCTGCTTTTTGCCTCGTGGTCCATCACTGGGTGAGATTCTGCTCCCTGAATAGAGCAGACAGGCGCAGTGTGATTGATGCGGGCGCATTTGCTTGCTGGCTGCTCTGCCAAAGACGATGTCAGCTCCCAGGCATCTGGGAGAGAGCTGCCTCTTGCTCCCCAAGGCAGCCCCTGGCCCTCAGATCCCCTTTTCCAGAGCATCCCAGGCTGGCTGGCAGCTCCTGGGGGTCTTGTCCCTCATGGTCCCCCTGTGGGGACACGCAGACCTGATGAGGGGGTGAGGATGCAGCCCTGGCAGCAGTGCTCAGGGAGGACGAGCTGCGTCAGCAGCAGAGGACAGACGTTGCACCATGTGCAAATCCCCTGCTAGCAACCAAAGGAGACTGGAAGGAAGGAATGGAAAGAAAATGATTAAAACAATTTTTTTTTTTTTTTTTTTAATAAAAAAAAAGCCCTGGGAAAAAGCCGTGTAGGGTCCTGGCACGTGAACAGAGTCTGTAAGTGGTCTTAAAAATTACCAATAAATAATCTTAACGGGAAACAGAAGGAGCAGAGCTGGGGTGTTCGTGGGTGTCTCGCGGCTCTTTGCGAGCATGGGAAAATGCTCTGGGTCCTGTCCCTCGTGATGTAGGGACAGCCCCTTTCTGGGCCATGGTGTGTCCCTGGCTCCGGCCACGAGGCAATGACCCGCCTGGCCGGCGTCCGGCCTGTCCTTGGCTGAGCGGGTGCAGGATGTGACACCCCAGCAAGGTTGTGCTGGCAATTCCCATAGGCACAGTGTGGCAGTGGGGACATGGCGGAGATTGTGGAAGAAGACCAAGCCCTCGCTGCCCCATGCCTCGTGCTGGCCTGCTGGGTCATGGACCAAGCCATGCCGAGCCGTGATCCCTTCCAGCTGTGCTGGCCCCAGGCGGCTGACAGGGCTGCGGGATCCTCTCCCTGCCAAGTCGTTGAGGTGTCAGCCAAGAGTTAGCAGGGAAAACGCCAAGCAGCCGCCAAGCCGGCCAACCCCTCATCCTCAGCCTTCCTCCTCCTCCTCCACTGCAGAGAGCCTCCCACCATCCTGCTGGAGCCCTGAGCCCGCATCCCACTCCAGCAGGGTCCCCCCTTAGCACCCAGTGTGCCTTCACCCCAGCTGTGCCCCAGGACCCCCCACCGCCACTCCCAGGGTGTCCTCCCCATCCTGGCCCCTCCACCTGGGGTGCATGGCCCCCTCCTATGGGTCTGTCTGGAAAGGGATGGTTCCCCCTCCCCAAACTTTCCAGCTCTCTGCAGAGCAGGAACAATCGTAGCCTTTGTCTTCCCTTAATCTCCTGGTTAGGAATTAAAAGGGGGGAAAAAACCCAGCAGCACAAAAGACTCTTTTGCATGGGCTGGGAGAGGGGAAGCCCAGGGCACAGGCATAGTGCAGGCAGGGTGCAGGCAGGGCTTGCCTTTCCCCCAGCCCAGCCTGGCCACCATGCTCCCCAAGGGCCACCCCACACTGTTCCCATCCCTGTGACCCCAGGATGTTCCTGCAGAGGCATCTGAGGGGTGAGGGCTCTGGGAGCATCCTCTGGTCCCCTCAGGCCCTCAAAAAGTCCTCACTCATTGGCTGTTCTGGGAGGAGGCAAGGAACATCTTTGGGGGGCACTCGGGCTGGGCTTGAGGTGCCGAGTGCCTCCTGCTCACTGCCGTGGGCTCGCTTTCACACACACAGTGCCCAAACACACCCTCACCCTCCCAGCGCAGGGCTCCCTGGCACCCAGAGCCCCCAAAGAACCACACAGGCATCACAGACCTCCATAAAATTCCTTAAATAATTTAATTGAAAAAAGTCTTTTTGTTAAAAAATATTTTTACAAACGCACGCTCGCATTGATTTCCCTGGCTGCTGTTTTTTTGTTGTTGCTTTTCTTTCACCATGGAACAGAGCTTTCCCCCAGTGTGGATTGATATGGAAAGGGAGGTGGCAGGTACAGCATGAGGAGAGCTGCTGGGTGCACCCAGGCTGGCTGCAGGAATGCCGTGTCCTGCCCCATGGGAGTAGGGTGTGCATGGAGAAGGCTGGGAGAAGGGGCTTGTTGTTTGAAATGAGCAGGGCCTCTCCCCAAAGCAAAGTCAGGCCAGAATAGAAGGTTGAGGTGGGGATGTTTGAGGTGCACTGGGGCTAGTGGGACCCCAAACCTTGCAGCAGCAGGGGCTGGGGGGACAAGGGAGGAAAGGGGCAGATCCTGTGCCCCACAGTGCTTCCAGGTGGAGGACTATGGGGAATTAGCAAGCCCCAAATAGGCTCTGACACCTCTTTAGCCACTTGCTCTTTAAAGTCTCCCAGTGCCAGGGTTCCTTGGCCTGATCTGGGAGAGGAGTGAGGTCTGCCCAGCGCTGCTGTTTGGGGTCCCACTGTGGCAGGCTGGGGAGCAGACAGGATAGGGAGAAAGACAGGATGGGAAATCCCAGCAAAATGAGGCTGCAGTGTCCCCAGCAGCCAGCATTCCAGATACATCCTGCAAAGAAGAGATGGTGGGAAGCAGGGAGACCGTTGCCTGGTACAGGACCTGCTGCCAGCCGCCCTCCTGGACTTGTTTACTGTTCTCTGTGGAGAAGGACGGGGTTAATGAGAAACCCAAAGGCAGGCCAGTTCCAAGGAAAGGGGAAAAACAACACCTGCTCTGTCAGCCTGGGAAGGAGGGGAGCAGGGCCAAGTAGTGGGGAGCAAATGGGCGCACCTCCTCATTTTGGGGAGCAACTGCTTGCCCCTATGCACTGCCAGCAAAGCACCCCATAAGCCAGCCAGCAAGGTGTACTGCAGCCAAGAGGGACCTGAGAAACCCAGGATGAGCAACTGGTGGTCCCACTTGGCTACTATGGAGCAATCCCCCCTGGACTGAGGGCATGGGATCCCTGGCTCTGTTCTCCCAGGGGGTTACCTTGCTGCCTGCAGCCAGTTGGTTCACCTTGGTGTGTTCCCACCTGGCTCAGCAGCCGCCATTTCACAGGGAAGAGTGAGGCCAGTGATTGAGGGATGCCCAGGGGCTGTTGCAACATTCCTGATGGGGGCCAGATTCTGCCCAGGGGGAGCAGAGAAGGAGCAGCACCCTGGGGAGAAGCCTCGGGGCTGTGGGGACCCTCTGGCACTGGGATGGGCAGTGTGCATGCCTGCTCTCCACTTGGCTTTCACATTCAGTGTTTGATTCCCCCAGTTTCAGCCTGACTTGATGAGGGAATGGGGGAAAAAGTTGCTGAGCACCTCTAGTACATTAGATGGAGTTTCCTGACTGGCTCTGCTCTGGGACTCACAACCTCCACCCTATGCACCCCACACGGAGCGCGCTGGGTCTCCCAGCACTGCAGGGTGGGTACATCATCACTACCTGCTCCCCGTGGGACAACCCGAAAACATGACAGCAAGAGAAGACGGGAGCAGAAACGGGCATAGAGCCAGCTTGGGGTTGGCCAGGAGGAAGAAGAGGATGGCCCTGGTGGGCAGCAAAGCTGCAGGCAGCCAGGCCCATCCAATGAGAGCGCGATCGAGCAAAGGAAACTCGGGTAAAATTCTTATTGCCTTTATTCTGCCCATTGCCTCCCACAGTCCTGCGGCCAGCACACACCCACGCACGCATGCACACACTCACGCACACTCAGGCACGCTGGGAGTCTCTCCCTCGGCTCGGAGGAACCGGGCTGCAGTGAATCCTCAGGGAAAGGTGAGTGAGTCTTTTGGCAGCAATCACAGCGTGTGTCAGGAGTGGGCAGCCATGCCGGCGGCACCTGCTCCTTCTGCATAAAAGAGGAGGCTGCGGGAGCCGCGGCCCCGGCGCAGCCCCCACCCCAGCCCCGCTCTCCGGCCCCTCGGGGGGAGCGCGGCTGCCGTCGGTCCGGGGGCGGAGGGTCCCTGTGCAAACGTGCTGACGGCCTCGCTCTGCAGTCCAGAGCCGGCCAGGAGAACCAAGAGGGTAAGAGATGTGGAGCCAGGTAGCTGGTCCCCCTCCCTCCCCTTTCTGCTCCCTCTTTTCTTTTTTTTTTTAATATATCTCTTTTTTTTTCTTTTTTCATTTTTTTTGCCTAACTCCCTGCATAGTAAATCGGGTTCGAGTTCTGGCGTGCAAAGCCAAGAAAGGGAGCGAAGCCTTCCCTTCGGACACGTTCCAGTGCAGACCCTCGGACGGAGGGCTCGCCAGGGCTGGAGAAGAGAAGTGATTGTCTGGGGCTGGTGGCCCCAGCCCTGTCGCTGGCTTGGCCTCCCCCGGCTGCTTCCATTTGAGGACCAGAGTTAGGGAAGGGTTCTGACGTGTCTGATGGACTCAGTGGACGGGTCAACAGTCTGTGGCCTTGGGGAGGTGAGGGAAGTGAGGACTGGGGGGAAAACGGGGTGAAAAGAAATCCAAGAAGCAGAACAACTCTTCAAACCGATGAGCACCGAGACAGGGCGGGAAGCGGGATGTGCCATCTCTGTCCCATAATCCACCTTCAATATGAAGATGTGTTGCTGCCTCGCCGCTCCAGGACATGGGACGAAAAGCTGGGCTCCCTCTCGGCATGAGTGCCTTTGATCCAGGGAAGGGTGTCCAGTCCCATCCCGTCCCAGGCGACCGTCCGAGGCAGAGGAGCGCCGTGTGGAGGGGAAAACGGGAAGCTGGGCTGCACCGCAAACTGAACCTGGTTGGCAGGTTCCCTCGGTCCGTTCCAATGCAGAGTCCCCTGTGGTCAAACCTGCACTGGGAGCGTCTGGTTCATCTGCAGCCTCATGTCCTGAATGCTGCTCAATATCTTCTTCTGGTGCCCTGCTAACGTCACCCCTATCCTCAGCAGGTCCCTGCAAAGACAAGGTGAAGACTCAGCCCCCCACCAACAGCAACATCAGCATGTGGCCCTGCCCCATGTAGCTGCAAGGCTAGGGACCTATCCGTCTGCATTACAGCCCTCTGCTAAGCTCTGGTGCTCCTCTAACACCAGGGGACTAGATGCTGAATCCCAGACCTGAACTCCCTTGGGACTGGATGCTAAATCCCAGCCTTAACTCAGCCAACTACGTGCCCAGGTGGGAGGAGGTGGCTGTCAGAGAGGCAAGTGACAAGGGACACTGTGCAGCAGCCCCAGCCCCAGCCACTTCTCTCCTCTGCAAGCAGGGACTTACTCTGCAGTCATCTGTGCCACCAGGTCAAAGGAGGCAAACCCGGCATTGACAAAGTTCTCCTTGTACCGTCCCATTTTGATGGCATCCAGCCAGTCTCCCACGGTGGTGAAGGTGGTGTAATCCGGGACGGTGCGGTCCAGAAGCGGCTGGGAGATGCTAAAGGGCAAGAGAGCCACAGGTCACAGGCAGCAGAGGGCAGAGAGATGTAACTGGAAGCAGGGGATATTTCTTATCCCTGTCCTCCCACAGTCTATTTCCAACCACTCCAGCATTTCCTGGGCTTGGGGGAAGCCCTGGCTGGAAACAGGAATGCCACTGACCCAGACTGGACGCTGGCGATGACTTTCAGGCTGGCAGCATTGCGGATGAGCTTGTCCAGCGTGTTGACGATCTGTGCAAACTTGGGCCGCAGGTTGCGGTCCCGCACCCAGCAGTCCAGCATCAGCTGGTGCAGTGCAGTGGGGCAGTCCATGGGGGGTGGCAGGCGGTAATCCTGCTCCACTGCATTGATCACCTGCAGAGAGACATGTAGGCTGTGAGCCACCTGGGCTCCCACAGGCAGCCTACAGCCCCCAGTTCCCCGCTCCCCAGAGAGCACTTACGTCCTGGTTGGACATGTCCCAGTAAGGTCGCTCCCCGTAGGACATAACTTCCCACATGACGATGCCGTAGCTCCACACATCGCTGGCTGAAGTGAATTTGCGGTAGGCAATGGCCTCAGGAGCCGTCCATCTGATTGGGATCTTGCCCCCCTGCACAGACACACAGCTCCCTGATTAGCACATACCTGAGGTGTCTCCCCCCACCCCCAGATCAGTGGATCCCTCACGAGTGTCCCATACCAGGGAGCTGGTGTAGGTGGGGTCAGCCGGGTCATCCTCCAGAAAGCGAGAGAGCCCAAAGTCAGACACTTTGCAGACCAAGTTGCTGTTGACAAGGATGTTGCGGGCAGCCAGATCCCGGTGCACGTAGTTCATCTCCGAAAGGTACTTCATGCCAGCAGCGATGCCTCGCATCATTCCCACCAGCTGGATGACTGTGAACTGCCCATCATTCAGCTGCCAAGGGAGAGATCAGAGGGGCTTGCAACCCACCAAACAGACTGAGGAAGGATCCCAATGTGCCACCATCATCTTCCTCCTCCCTAGAGCCACCCCTCTTCTCCCACCCCATGATGTCTATGCAGAGTTTAGCTCCAGGGACTCTAGCATGACAATATAGAGGGGTGGGGAAAGGCTTGGAGTTGCTGTCCCCCATTCACAGCAGTCCCCACCCCAGGGCAGGAAGGTATGGATGCTCACCCGGAGGAAGGAGTCAAGTGCACAGTTCTCCATGAATTCCGTGATGATCATGACGGGGCGGCTCTTGGTGACCACACCCTCCAGGTGGATGATGTTGGGATGGTCGAACTGGCCCATGATGCTGGCCTCGCTCAGGAAGTCCCGCCGCTGCCGCTCGGTGTAGCCCACCTTCAGCGTCTTGATGGCCACAAAGATCTCACGGCGGCCGGGCAGCTTCAGGCGTCCACGACAAACCTCACCGAACTCCCCTGTGGTGGGGAAGGAGAGAGGAGAGCAGCACAGTGAGCCATGGGACAGGGTGGGAGGTGGTAGTCTCAGCAGCTGCTGTGCCCATATCCAGGACTTGCCTGCTCCAATGACCTCCTCAATTTTCACACAGGAGATGTCAATCTCCTTGGCGAATTCCCGAACAGCTTCATTAGGGTCCTCATATGTGAAGGGGTCAATGTACACCTTCGTCCCAGGGGTAACTGCAAAGGCAGGAGTCATGACCAGGAGGGACACAGCACAGGTGACAGATGCCAAGTTACTTGGCTGGCTGTCAGCCCACCCCTCCTTCATTAGCAAAGGCTGTACCTTTGCCTGCGCACAGGGCAGGAATTGGGAGAGAGCAGGCAGAGCCCATTTGCTGGGCTCTCACACTCACCATATTGCTGCAACTTCTCTGTGTACTCAGGGTCGGTGTTGTTGCGTTGCTTCCTGCCCAAAGGAGACGAGAGGAGGTGTTCAGTAACCATCCCTTTCCTGATGGGGCAAAGACATTCACTGCCAGCTTCGAAATCCCAGCATAGACAGTCTATGCCAGAGAGCCTTCCCTCTGGCAGTCTGCGTGCAGAGCCATCCCTCCACCCGAGGTGCTATGGGAGGAGATGGCCTAGTTGTGCTGCAAAGATGGCAGAGCACAGCTCATGCTGGGGAAGGAGACCGGTACAGTCCTTCCACAGAACCCAAGGTCTGGGATCCCTGCATGGCAGGTCCAGTCCTTCGCTCTCAGACTGGAGCTGACAGAGCTCTGCCCGTAGGTCAGGGGAAGAAAGCTCTGTGGCACACAGGAGCAACCCCCAAACCCAGCTCTGAACCCACCCTTCCCTGTAAAGCCAGTACCTGAAGCAGACGATAGCGATCACCACCACAACGATGACGAACACCAACCCTGCTGTGGCCGAACCTACGATCAGAGGCAGTTCCTGGAAAGTCTTGCTGGTGGAGCCTGGACGGATGGAGAGGCAGGAATCAAAGTCAAGCTAGGGAAGGAGCATGCATAGGAGCATGCATAGGAGGGCTGGGGGATGGAGGCAGCCCAGTCCTGGTACCTACCACCCTCTGCAGTTGTCTGAAACTCCGTGGGGAGGCTGTAGCGGCCATATCCAGCCACGGTGCGTGCCCGGACCTGCACCATGTACCGAGCATTGGCCTTCAGCCCATCCAGCCGCACCGAGTTCTTCTGGCTGGTGACTGTGTTGGCGATGCCATCACTCTGGCCTTGCTGTAGGGGAGACATGTGGGCGTCACCTCTGGGAAGCCCTCCCCTGTTTGGTGGCTCCCACATTCCCCAGGGACCATCTCTGCAGTGGCTCCCTTCGCCACAGAGCTGATGGCCAACTAAGAAAGGCTGGAGGAGGGAAAAAGCTGCTCCTGCTTTACCTTCTCCGAGTACTTGATCTCATAGTCAAGAATGATGCCGTTGGGTCTCTCTGGGGGAGTCCATGACAGGGTCATGCTGTTCCCAGTGCTGCTGTGCAGGTGCATTGTCGGCACGGCAGATGGGGCTAGGAAAGAGGGCAGAGGAAGAATGAGCCACTGGTGCCAGGCTCCCCCCCTCCACCATCCCACATCAGTGTAGGACCTGCTTGGATGATCTTGGTGGAAAGGCATGGAAAACACTGGCCTCCCCCAAGTTTCTGTACGGAGGTGTGATCTCAACACCAAGGGGAGCCTCAGAAATAGTACCAAGGCTTCACCCCATGCCTAGCTGCAAACTGGTCTGGGGAAGTGCCCTGCCAGCCCAAACTGGGGCTCCCTCCCTTCCTCCACTTGCCAGGAGCTCCACGCTCCACCCCACCAAGACCCATGAAATCAGATCAGAGCACAGTGGCTGGAGATTACCAGTGTGCTGGAGCAGGGCCAGAGCAGGCGGAAGGAGGGAATGGCAGAGGGAGGGAACGGCTGGCTGCAAGCTTTGGGCTGGTGCTGAGCCTTCCCAGGCCCACAGGGGAGAAATCTCATTTCCTTCCTCCTTCCTTTGCAGCAGGCACAGCATCTCTGGGGTAGGTCCAGGAGCTCCAGAGCTCTCTGGAGCATCTGCCAACCCTACCCTTCTCCACTTTCATGTGTTCTGATCACATCTCCTCAGGAGACATGCGTTAAACGGAGAGGGCAGTTCACCCAGGGGATTAGATGCAGACGTGGAGAGCCAGTTACGCAGCACCACAAAGGACTGCAGCCTCCCAGGCTGTCAGCAGGAAATCTCTGCTCCGCTCTGCGGCAGAGATCCAGCCCCTGCTCCTTGCAGCTCCACTGACCTGCCTGGTTGGTGGTGATGTTGACAGAGGCAAAATGGGGAGGGTAGGGACTCTTGTTGGAGATGCCATTCACAGCCTGGATCTCGAAGGTGTACTGGGTGTGGGCCATCAGGTTGCTGATGTAGATGCGTCGCTCGGTGAGGCCGAGCTGGCGCGGCACGAACTCCACGTTGTCGTCGCAGCGGGTGCACAGGCGCCGCTCCACACTGCACTTCTTGCAGATGACGTTGTAGAGCAGGTCATCCCGCCCGCCCGTGTCCTGTGGCTCGCTCCACTCCAGCACCAGCGATGTCTCGTTCACATTGGAGATGACATTGCGGGGGGCCGAGGGGACGCCTGCAGGGAGAATGGGGGGGTCAGGGATGGCATGTCCTCATGCCCAGCTCATGCCTGGTGTGGGCCCAGCATGCTCTTCCACCCCAGACGTGGACCCTCACCACTTCCACAGCTCCCCTTGCCTCCCCTCCTTGCCCCGGGCAGGACTCACTGGTGCAGGCACTGTCTGCAGGGTCTGTGTCTGCCCGGAAAAAGCCATTTCGACAAGTGCAGACCATTGCTGCTCCAGATGTGGTCCGGCTGTTGGGAGGGCAGGGAGAGCAGGGACCTTCCCCCTGCTTAGACTTGAAGGTTCCTGGGCCACACGCTGGAGAAAGGAAAAACAGACCTGAGTTATAAAGTGAACCCAGAAAGCATCCATTGCCCTCAACAAGGCTGGGGAGATCCTTCCTCACTGCCCTGCCAAATCTTCAATCAGTGGCTTGAAGGCCACTTACAAGTCTTTCCATCACTGTCAGCCATGCCCAGGTATGTAGCACCTCTGGCTGTGCAGAGTGGGCAAGAGTGGGCTGCCAGAGGGCAGGAGCACCAGCCAGCTCAGGCACAGCTCTGCCCAGGAAATGCTGCGCTCCAGCAGCAGGACCACGGTAATTAGAAATGGGAAGAGCTGGTCACCACCAGCAGCACTGGGGGCAGGGCAGTCCATTCAGGAGACCACATCATCGGTTTTGTTTCTTCACTGCTCTTCCCAAGGGTTTTGCCATGCTCCCTTCCCCAGATGGTTTCCCGACCCAGCACGCTCCATAAGGTCATTGATCCATTCTCCGGAATTTGAGCTGGAATTAAGGCTCAAAAGGAAAGGATTTCTCAGCCCTGCTTGCAGTAGCCCCTGTGAGAGGCCTCCACCATCCAAAATCAGCCACTCAGCCCCAAACCTTCCGCCTTGGGCTCTTCAGCCACTTCTCAGTCCCGGGGCGGTGGCACCTCCCGAGGTCGGCTCAAGTGGAGCACTGAGTGAGATGAAAACATTCCTGCAGGTCCTTGGCTAAAGAGCTGCTTCAGCATCACTGCCACCTCCCTCCTCCACTTCCGATCAGGGTCCTTCAAGGAGCCATAAGTCCTGGGATATGGCCTGATTGGCACCACAGGGTGTTTATTTGTAACGAGGGGCACGTGAAAGGATTAACAGCACTTGAGTTGAGGAGCAATGTGGCCTCAGGAACCCAACCCACACCTCAAAATAGCCCAATTTATCACAGTGCTGCCCAAGGAAGTGGATTCTGTGCTCTGTGTTTGCAGCCAGATGAGAGACCTGCTGGTGCCACCTTTGCTTCGGCATAGCCCTGTCCCACCTTCCACCCCTGTCACACGTCACCCTGAAAACAGGAGGAGGTTTCCTGGTGCTTCACCAGGCTGTGGCAAGTGGAAGTTTCCTGCTATGAGGCATCTCCCGTCACCCTCTGTGGAAGTTTTCCGGCTGGTTGCAGCCCCACACGGGGCGTGGAGCGCTGCTGAGTCACACGCTGCCGGGCCGGCCCTGCAGGGACCCGCACGCAGGTCCGGGGTGCTGTCCTGGGCCCCTGGTTTGACCAGACACCGGGAAGTAGAAGCCCCAAGGGAGAAGCCCCACTCCAGCACGGTGCTGCTGGGCAGGGGTATGTGAGAGCAGCCCCTCACAGGGGGTGTCACCCCGCTGCCACAGAGGGGACTGTGTGCTCTCCAGTCCCATTGCCTGCATGGGTGGCAGGAGCTACTTCCTGCTCTCAGGGTGTGAGCCTTCCGGCAAGGAGACTTCTTTGGTCAAAACAGGACCGACCACATGGCTCGACTCACTCCAGTTCCTTGACCTGAGCTCACCCAGCCTCTGGGCCTTCCCTTTGGAAATGAAAGCTTAGCCTGTCTCACTGTGCAGGCTGGAGGGCAAAGGAGTGTGCAGACCTGCTCCTTGGCTAGCAATGGGAGGCCAGCAGGTCCAGGGCTCCCATCTCCCCAGCCTGGGACACCCTGGCCACCACAAAATGGGTCTTTATGTGGACAGCAGATGCCCAGAGGTCGCAGAGCAGCCTCAGCACAGGCAGACCCACCCCAGTTGGAGTCCCGGGCGGTTCAAACTGGGTGGATGCAGATTCACACATAAGGAACCAGATTGTTGAGGAATGAGAGATGACTGAAACCTCTTGGACAGGAATGCTCTGGGCTCAGAAAGCTGCCAAACATGCTTTGGTTATGGAGAGGAGCCCAGATCCATCAGGGACAAAACCCCCTGAAATAACAGGCTTGTTGGGGGGAGAGTGAAGTCAGAGCAACCAGAGCTTGTGTGAAGCTGACAGCCCAAGCATGGCATGGCAGCTAGGGACAGCCAGGTACTCTGCAAAGGATGCAGGAGGGATGAGGGCACTTGGCCTCCTGCACATGCAGTGCCAGCTGGTGCCCAGTGGGTTACAGGCATGGAGGGGACAGTGACCTCCCAGATATGGGAGGAAGGGACAGGCAGAGCTGTCCTGGGGCAGGTGCCTGCCACCCCGCAGGAGTGCCCAGTGCAGGCACAAGGGGTGAAGGTCATTTCTTCACATTCTCATGCTACCCTGGCAGGAGGGGGGAGAGCCATGTCTTAGCCCTGTTAAGCGGGGAAGAGCAGGAGAGGGACCGAGGCCCAGATGCACTCCAGTGTTTAAGTTTCCAACTCTGCTTAATAAATCAGAGCATAAAGACCTCGGTGGCAGCATGACAGCTCTCAGCCGCCACATTTGAAGGCTGTAACCGAGCTGAAAGCTGATCCCAGGTCCCCGGTGGATAAGCCGCTGTGTCATCTCTTCTCTGCAAGAAACTGCCTGTACAACAACCACTGTCTTGGCCGGCAAGCCGCGGAACGAGCCTGGGAGCTCTGGAGTGGGACTGTGACTCCATCCAGCCGGAGCTGGGAAGCCAGGCTCCCCTCTCCCTACTGAGAGCTTTGCATAAGCACTTTTCCTGCTGAAGTGTCCTCAAATAAAATAACAACTCTGAACCTCTGCACACAGATCACATCTCCTGGTGCTGTGCTGCGGTCACCTCTGGGGAGAACATGACAGTCACTGACAGCCACAGGATAACAGGTCAGGGAACCGAAGCGGAGCTCCCCGGCCTGAAGAGGAGCTGCTGGTTTGATGGGAGGGAGAGGCAGTCTGGTCTGACAGCAGGGATCGGCCTCTGAGGGGATTTGTGTGGGGTGTGGGAGGGAGGAGGGCAGTAACAAAGCCCTGCTGCAAAGCTGCCCCTGCACCCTCTATGGAGCATTGCACAGCCGGCATGGCACGGCAACCTTGGCCATCCGGCTGCTTCTGGCAGCCCCTCCAGAATTTTCATCAGTCGCCCACCTCCAGGGCCTGATCCTGCCTCACAGAGCTGCAGCACAGGGCTGGGGGAAGAGGAGGGCACTATTCCCACATACAATCCCCACACTGGTGAATAAAATCCAAGGAAGGGAGCTGAAAAAAACACCGAAATAAAACCTTCCTGGCAGCAGCAGAGAGCAGTGACTCATCCCACAGGCAGCCTCCATTATTGCACGGGATGCAGGCAAGCGGCAACGAACCTTGAGTGCATCCCCAAAACTTTGGGGTTCCCTCCCTTGGGAAAGGCAAGGATAGTCGTGACACATCAGGAAATACTAGCCCCAAACTACCGTGTCTCATGTCTCAACTGCTTTCCCATTCACACTACACTATTCCAGCATCCTTCCAGCTATTTCTCTCCCTGTAGGATGAAGCAGAATGCCTTGCTTCAGCCTAGATAAATTAAACTGATCATATCCCTTTGCCCAACAACCCTGTAATTTCTTTAGAGGCAGCAGCCGGCTTTGCTTGGGACGATCTGTGCTTTATGAACCCGCATGGCTCGCTCCCTTCCCGCTGTCATAAGAGGCTGCAGATGGAGCAGAACTGTGGAAGCAACAGCCTGGCTATAGCTGAGGCGGTAACTCTGTTTTTAAGTCTCTCTTAAAAGGCAGTTATTTAAAAAAAAATAAAGTAATCACACTTTAGGTGAAAATATTTCACACCAGCGCAGTCCAAAAGTGGATGGAGTAAATCTGAAGGGAGGGAAGGGAAAGAGCCCTCAGGGGTTTGAAGTGGCATCCAAAGAACAGGCGGGAAAGCATTTTTTTTCAAGGAAAGAAAAAAATTCAATAAGCAAAGCTGCCTCTCAAGCCACAGTGGGTCACAGGCAGTACAGCAGGGGCAGATTTCCTCGAACGTGTTACAAGTAACCCATTGTGGAGTTGCCTGGCTATAAACCGGCAGTTCTCCCTGCCTTCCCTGCTGCTGCCTTTGATCTGGGAGCCCGGGCAATTAATCCCAGGCAGTTTCACTTCCTGGGTTTCATGCAGCAAGCCCATGTTGCAATGCAAAGCTGCAAACAGTTGGCAAGTCCAATGCTTGCTTGGCAATTTTTTTTTCTTTAATTCAGGGTGATGTTTCCATTAGTCACTGATTGCAAGGGAAATTTATTTTTGCAAAAATTCTGGTTTTGGCCCCAGCTTGACCTGCGCTCACCTACTGACTGTGCCCAAATGTTCAGTGGCTGGTGCCAAGAGAAAAGGGACATCAAAAAGTCTGAGAAATGGGTCTCAGGAAAGTGTGGTGTCAGGCTGGACACTGTCACCTCAGGTGCTCTTATGGTTTGGGTATCCACAGATTGCACCACACAGCTTCAGTCTCCCTCCTGAGTGGGGTGTAGGCTCTGGGGGCACTGTGGTCCTCCTCCAGGATCCCCATGGACATAGGACCAAGTGACAAGGGGGTTCACGGCTCACCCTGGCATGGCAGCCAGCCAGACCCCAAACCTTTCTTTGCGTGAAGCCAGCAACATGAGGGGTGCAAACCCCAATGAATTTGGCATGGGAGCACATGCCCGGGAGCACTTTTAGGGAGTCCCTTGACAGCAGGTCCTCTGAACAGTTTGGGTGCTTGCTAACCAAAAGGAGAAGAGATGGGATTGCAGGGCTTGGCGTGCAAATGCAGTGTGTCCCTGTCTGTGGAGGAATATGGGGGCCTTTGTCCCCCTCCCTGGTCAGCAGCTCTTCTTCATCCTGCAAGAGCTGTCTCTGCAGCTCTGTGTGGCAGGGAGTGTGTGGGAAGCGGCACAACCCCCAGAAGGACCGTGTGCTAATTAAATAAAGATAATGAGGCTGAGAATGAGATGCCAAATCAATGCTGTGGCAACTCAGGACTAGAGCGCCAGGTACCAGCCTGGCGTATCGCCTTACAAAGCATGCCAAAGAATCTGTCTTCAGCTGGGCAGGATGAGCCCTCTGCTCCCGAGGGACTGGGATACAAGCTGCATTGTAACAGGTCTGAATGCAAGGCCTAATCTTGGCTCCGGATGGAGATAAAGAGGAGGAGGAGGAGATCTTCAAAGGCCACTGAAAGTCTGGGGAAAGGGGGAGATTTACAACAGGGCTTATCCCATCTAAGCGGTAACAGGGTATTGTTATTTATTAAAATGCCATCTGGCACTCTGGAGTGCTGCTCGCCCGCTCAGTGAAGCCTCAGAGGGCTCCCCAGGGTGGGAGTGATGAAACCCCAGCTCCGTGGGGCTACATCCACACCTCTCTCCATGATGTGGGGGCCGGGAGCCTTCTCGGTGGTGCTGGACTGTCAAAATGGGATAAGGGAACATCCAGCCAAGAGCAGAAAAGGGAGCTTCAGCTCCAGCTTCTCCCAGCCCTTCTTCAGCTGTTTCCACTTAAAACACACGATCATATGGCGGAAAATCTGATCTTACAAGCGCAGCGCAACTTTCCCAGAGAAACGTGAGGACACTGCCGCTTCTGCCCAGCAAGAAGGCAGGCTGCCGGATGGAGACGTGCCCGTGGCTCAGCATGGCTTCCCTGCCTGCAGCAGAAGAAGCTGGGGCTTGGGGGGAAAATCAAAGGTGCCGGGAAAGCCGCCCACGTGGGGGTCTATCCAGCTTGGGGGATGTGGAGAGTGGACCTCACTCTAGGCTCCAGCGATGCCCTGAGCCCAACTCGAGGAGCCCTCAGTCCTGCCTTGGGATGCCCCAGCCAGGCAGAGACCAGATGCTGGCTGGAAACGGTGTCACCTTGTGCCCAAACCCCACTCCCTGCTGGGAAAGAGCCAACACCCTTTATGGTCCAAGATCTCCCAATCCAAGCAAGAAGGAAACCAGTTCCCCAGGAGCGTGGACCCCAGAGCACAGTTTTAAGTGGGGACGGATGCCTGGCACCAGTGTCCATCTGCCCCAGGAGGAGCCAGATTGGCTGCTCTCAAGAGCGACGTGGGGGCTGGGACACCGAAGTCAGGGCTGTGCTGGCACTGACGGTGCTGGAGGCTCTGGACACCCGGCAGAGCTGCAGCCCTGTGGAGACTGAGCTCTCCCCAACCAGCCACAGCAGCATGGCTGACAGCAACACCACTCCCAAAGCCAACGGAGAGGCCAGCCTGGCCCGAGCCCCACATCACGGGCCGTCCCACATCGTGTGGCCCCTGCCAAAAGCAAAGGGCCAGCGCCAAGCATCCCGTCATCGGTGAGCATGAGGCATCCAGTGCTGGGGGCCCAGCCAGCATCCCACTCCCTGCTCAATGCCTCCAGCCAAGGAGAACAGCGACCTTTCTGCCCTAAACCCCAGCCACCCCAGGGCAGGGTCCTGCCTGCCAGAGAAAGCTCCCAATTTAAAAATCACCCCAAGGGAGAGTAAGATCCAGCCAGGCAGATTTTTCCTTATCAACACACCCAAACTGGGTTAAACTGCAACACCAAAGTTACCGTGGGAGAGCATGGCAACTGCAGGACCCACACAGAGCTATCCTGCTGCTATGGTGGCTCTCCATCCCCAGCATCAACATGTGCAGGATGTGTTTCCCTCTCTTCTGAGCAAGAAGAAGAGGCTTCAGACCCCCTGCCTTCATGCTGCTCCCCACCCTCCCTGCTGCTAGCTTTCAGCACTGTCAGGGGGAGCATGCATCCACGTGGTTTCTCCCACAGCGCAGTGGAGCCCCGATCACCACCAGGGCTTCCGAGTGCCTCTGCACAAGCAGTGTGAAATCACACTTGCCAGGAACAATCAATAGGCTCAGCCACGAGCACTGCAGGAGGGAGAGAGGGGAGATGCTGGATATGGCAGCAGCGGCAAGAGAAAGGTTTTGGTAATGCTCAGGGGCTTAGGTGTGCTGGATCCCTGCTGAGGACCATGCCTGGAGCTGCAAGGAGATGCATCCTGCACTGGTGGTTGCAAACTAGTGTGTCACAGCAGACACCGCACCAGGCCAGGCCACAAAGGCTTTAAGGTTTCCAAGTCAAACTGCAGGCCAGTCCTCTGAGAAACCACCCTGCTCCCTTCTCAGGGAAGAGCCTCCAAAACCAAACTGAGCTCAACACAAAACCACCTCCACCGCGTCAACGCATCCGTGGGGACAAAAGCCATGATCGCTCTGCCATGCGCGTACCTTGGCACTGGGTATCCTTCATGGCCGGCTCGTACCCAGCGGCACACGTACACGCTCCCACAGGTACCATCCACTCGCCGTCACCGTTGCAGTACAGCTTTAGGGGCACAGACACCTCCACCGCGTTGGGGATGCAGGTGCCTGGCGCGATGACCAGAGAAGTGGGCTCGGCCCCCGTTAAAGTCTCCGGGAAGATAGCAAAGCCAGCAATGGTGTTGGAGCATTTCTTGTAGAAAGCCCGGACGGAGATGAGGGACATGCAGGCTCCCAGGTCCTGGAAGGCGAGGTAAAAGCCATTCTTGGAGAGGGGTCCAAAGCTGCGCACCTTGGTGTTCACGCGGCCAGACTCCAGCTTGGAGAAGCTCTCATCTGGGGCAATTGTATCCACTTTGATGTAGGGGTTCTCCATCCAGAAAGGGCTGTTTGCAGAGGCAGAATCCGTGTCTGACTCATAATAGAAGAGGTTGAAGGTCTCTTTGCAGGAGCCGGGGATGTTGGGGATGCTGTTGCAGTCCCGCACAGTGAACTTCAGCTCCACGTAGACACGCTGGACGTCCTGGCGCTGGATGAACTTGGTGCGAAGCCAGTTGTTCTGGTTGGCCTCCCGTACATTGCAGACCTGGTACGTGCGGATGGGGTTCATGGCCTCATCGTAACCGCTGACTTCTTCCCACTGTGAGCGAGAGGGGAAGGGTTAGATCCCCAGCTGGGGACATCAGTGTCACGGACACATCGTGAATGTGGCTGAGGGTGGGGGGGAACAGGCAACAGTCAACAGGGAAGGGCAGCAGCTGCACCTACACCTGTCACAACCCTCCTGGTCATCAAGGTGACTAAGAGCAACCCAGGCCAGGGCCCACAGCACTCCCGCTCTGCTGACACAGAGTCAGGAGGAGATAGTTTCATGAGGCGAGGATAAGCATGGGAGGGAAGGACAAAGACACAGGTCCACAAAGGCACTGGTGAGCAACCCTGATTCCCGTGGGGCCAGGGCCAGCTGTGCCCTTTGGAGGTCAGGACCAGGGCTGGCTCCAAACTTACCCCTGTCTCTGGATGAGTTGTCCAGGCCAACTCAGAGGTCACCCACTTCGTGTCCATCAGGGTCTCTGGAGAGAAAGGAAGGAGAGAAAGAAGTAATTGAAGATGAAGGCCAAGATTAGAGGGAAAAAAACAGGAGGAGTGGGGGAGAAGAAAGCTGAGCCTGACATTTCTGTGGAAAACAGCAACTTGGGGGGTGAGACATGGTGGGAGGAGCGGGAGTGGAGCAGACAGACTCCAGATTTCTCTTCTCCCATCAGGAGTACAGGAAGAGCGAGGCGTCCCCAGAGAGCTGTGCCGGAGCAGGCAAGCAGGACAAGGAGATGGCCAGGCGGTGAGGGGGGGATGGTGATGGGCTGCCACCCCCAGCCACCAGCACAGCCAGTTGTGCCCCCCGGCCAGCACAGGGGGTGCCAGAGGAGGGAAACCGGGCGCCCCCGTCCGCTCCCTCCCCCTCTGCTTTGGCAGGGCGCGTATTTACTGTGGCTGGGGTTGAAAGGGCCCGTTCCCATGACAGGGCGGTGTGGGCCAGGCAGGTTTATCCAGAGGAGGAGGGACTGGCAGGCTGCTCTCCCAGAGACGCCCCACATCACTCATTTTACAAGAGGGGAGAAGAATTTGACCGTCTGGCCAACATTCCTGGAGCAGACTACAAGACAAACCACCCCGGCAGCATTCCCCAAACAGCCCCAGCCCCAGCCTTGGGGGAGCAGGACGCTTGTCTGGGAAGAGCTGCAATTGCAGGCAGCTGTCGCTAATCCCAGGCAGAGCCGCGTGGCTCCACGCGAGCACTGCGTGCAAAAACCAGGAGCAAAATGCAAGGAAGAGAGTACGGCAACAGGCTGTGGAGCCAATGGCCCCGCTGTGGGCTGCTGGCCTTGTGACCCCCACTCCAGGGATGGCCTCTAGGCTGTTTGGAGGGAAGCAGGCACCTGGAGGTTTCTGGATTGCGGGTCTTCTGGAACCTTTTCTGCCTAAGGGGGGTCTAGTGCAAGAAGTGTGCAAATGCCTGGAAACCCTGATGTGCCCAGAGGGGCTTTAGTGCCTGCCCCAAGCAGGACCCTGGACCAGTGCCAAAATGCCTCCCTGATGAGGGCATCCTGCTCCCCAGCTGCAGGTATGGCCCCATCCCAAAGCCCATGCAGCTCCCCAAGGGCTGTCTATCCATCCATCCATCCATCCATCCATCCATCCATCCATCCATCCATCTATCAGCCCACTCAGGCCCAAGATGAGGGGCAGGGAGCCATGGCTCTCTAGCCCCTAGAACCAGCAGTGGGAGCCTCTCACTCTGGCTGGCTGGGGCACAGGACATGCCGGGGCAGCTCAGCTGTGCCGGCACCATGGCTCAGCCCCAGAGTGAGAGGCAGTTTCAACTTCTTTCCCTCCACCCCAGGAAAACCACAGGCTGACCCAGCCAGGGAGGAAGTGTGGAGGAGGAAGGAAATATTCACGCGTTGCAGGGTTTCGGATGAAGCCCGTCTGGAGGTAAACACCTTCCTCCCGCGTCCCACCCCGGGGAGACCCGCCAGCAGCTCCTGCGCCAGCACCCACAGACAGGCCGGGAGCATGGGCTGTGGGTGCCACTGCGGCGCAGATAAACAAGCACATTTGGGGACACGTGGGCTCTCCGACCTGCCTCGCGGTTTGCCAGGTTCCCAGCCAGGCCAGTGAGCCTGCTTCTTGCCCAGGTTGCTTGCCTGGAGCAAACACAAGCACAGTCCTATTGTGGGCTGGTGGCACTGGCAATGGACATGGCAAGGGGGACAGAGGGAGGAAAACCCCTCATGGTGTTAGCTCCCCGGTGAGAGAGGGGCAGGGAGGCAATCTCTACAACAGACATCAGCTCTGATTCGCAAACACAGAGGTGGTTACTGGGTAGCGGCTATTTACTATTTTTCAAAAACACAAACTAGGAGCATCTGGCAAAAACAAAGGCGGAGAAAGAAGGAGCCCTCTGCCAACTGGGTAACGCAGGAGGGCTGGGGCACAGGATGGGCAGGATGGCGCTGGGCACCCATGAGGCAGCCTCTGCTCAGTCCCATGGCACTACCTGCCCAAGGAACACAGCAACACGCCATCCCTGTCTCTTCCCATTTCCCACACCATCAGTTATTGAAGACCAGTAGGAGCCCAAGTGCAGCTCTGTGTGGTCACAAGACCCCCAAGGACGCTGCTGCACTCCCCAGACCCCTGCATGGAGTGGCTACCAGGGCAGGTGGGCAGTGCCAGACAATGGGGGAGCAGGTTCCCGAGTGGAGCTGCCCACAGCTCTCCGAGGGACAGACCCCGTGCTGGCTGCCCTAATAAGGGCACAGCGGTGCCGTGAGGGCCTAGACGTGCCGTGCTGGCGGCAAGCAGAGCCAAGCATGTGCTCGGCGCTGACAGCGCTGTGCTGCCAAGTCCTGGTGCGGATACCCTGTGTGGGTCCAACCAGCGCAGGGCCCCACTGCCGGCATGGGCAGCTGGTGGGTGTTTCTGCAGGAGGAGTGGGGAAGGGATGCCCTGCGTGCTCAGGGCTGGGGCTGCTGATGGATGAGCGGCTGCAGCGGTGAGTCAGGCTGAGGAGATGGGAATCTGGGTGCAGGGTGTGCCCGCAAGCAGAGCAATACAAGGATCCCGTGGCAAGCCATGGCACAGCTTGGACTGACCAGACCATGGGGGGAGTTTGCTTCCCAAACCTGTCCAGGACGTGCGGGAAGCCTCCTGCACTCCATGAGGCTCCATGTAGGAAGCCCTTGCCATGGCAGACGTCCCCTCCAGCAGCGTCCTTCCCCATGAGTGCTGGTCCTGGGCAGAACCTCAGCTTGGACAGGAGGCTTGCTGCCTGCATCCTAATTTGGCAGCATCTGCCATCTGACCAGCAGAGGAGAGAAAAAACTGACAGAGCCAAGTCAGCTGTTGGCGTGAGAGCCACGTAAACCACATGGAGAGAGTGGGAAGAGGAAATAATAAAAATAAAATCACTGAGCAACCCAGCTAAAGGAAACAGGCTGAGTGCAGAGGGCAGAGGGGGTTTCCTGCAGCCACAGGAGTGACCCAGGTGGGGTCAGCAGAGCTTCCCAGACCCTCATAGCCTGCCACAGTGAAGGTCGTGGGTGGATGGCCCCATGGGCTGCTGTGCTGCATGGTCCCAGGGCTGGTGGCACATGCTGGGCTGAGCCACAGAAACTGCTCTCTGCCCATAAAGCTGCCACAGAGATCTCACAGCGGCCTGGGACCGAACCTGTGTCCTCCCTGGGAGGACACAGTGCCCAGGGTGCTAGTGCCAGTGCCCAGGGTGGGGAGCCCAAGCACTGAGCTTCAGTGGTTCAGGAGCACACAGCTGCTCTCTCCCTCCAGTGCAGGGTGCCAGAGGTGGGCTGAGAAGCGTCCCGGCACAGTTCAGGTTTGCAGGTGCTTTGAAGGGACGTGAACGGTGTCAGGGCTGGCTCAACAGTGAGTCAAAGACACTTCAATCCCGCACGCCACAGAGAGAGCCTGGTCCCATTAGTCAACGGGAAATTGGCTCCCAATTTCACCAGCTTGGGGAAGTCACCCTAAGGCTTGCTTTATCACTGTCTGCAGTGCCGGGAGTTGTCCTCTCCTTACCTTCAGCTGGGCAAAAGCAAGGGATGGAGCAGGAGCCTCGCTATGCTCAGCGAGTGCAGATGGTCATGGTCAACCCCACATAAAAGCAGTTCCATGGCAGAGTGGGATCAGGGACAGGGAAAGAGCCTTATTCCTCGGTTAGGGCTTTGAGCATCACTCCAATTGCCTCTTCCCTGCCCTGCAAGTCTCCTCCCAGGCACACCCTGTGCTGCGAAGACAAGGGGTACCCCCAGCAGCCCTTCCATCACCTCCACAGAGTCCCCAGCAGTTCACTAGGTGTTTGAAGCCCTGGCAAGGACCCATCTGGAGCCAGGGACCTCTTTCTCCTGGTGCAGAGGCTCAGGAATGCAGCGTGCATGGTCTGAGGCCAGCGAAAACGTTTGAACTCCCCCCTTAAGAGGCCCAGAGAGCCCGTCTCGCGCTGTTGAGCGGCAGACGCGCGCGGCAGCAATGGCTGAGCCAGGAAAGGGGGGGAGAAATATCAAAATTCTTTCAAGATGAAGCCACTGGGGAAGACTCAATCGTCTCCACCAACAGGCTCCAATTTGAACGCTCTCTCCTTTGAATACAGGGACTGATGGCTTTTATCAGGATGTGCTGGCAACATAGAACACCAGCTCCTAGACCCAGTGAGGAGAAGGCAGCTCACGCAAGTCCAGAGCATCCTGGAAGAAGGCAAAGGAGGGAAGTTACTAAAGACGCCCACGCAGCTTTGCTGCAAACAGAGGAACCTGTTCTACAACGTGTCCATGCTCTCTGGGAGCTATGCACACCATGGCACCATGGTTGCAGGAGCTCAGTGTGGGATGAGTGGCTCGGACTGGCCATATGGGCCACTTGCCCCATGCTGAGCTCCTGCAGACACCATCGATGGCTGGACCATTTGCCCCAGGACATGCCCCACCATGGTGGTTGTTCATAGTGGTGTTGGATGCCTCTCCGCCTTACTGCCATGCTTTTCTCCTCTGTAAGAAAAAGCAGCTTGTTTAGGGATGTATTTTAAATCTTGGTGACTGCCTGCTAGTCAAAAAGCCACCGAAAGGGGCATCTCCCGGTATATTTTAATTTCCTTCTTGGTTTTGAAGATAATTACGGCAGGAGCGAGTGGCCTCGCATGCTCCCCATTCAAGCACCTATCGGTACAATTAATCCCGGCACTGTTCTGAGCAGCGGCACAAAGGGCCTTTGGTGTAAGGTCCTTTATCTGGGAACAAAGAGCTGCCTGTGGGAGAGAACCTGAGGTTGCACTTTTCCCGCTGACAAGCGTTTCCCGTACACAAAAGCTGAGCCACACCGAGCGCCCTGAGAGCACGTCAGGTCTGGGAGACCCCGCAACATGTTTTCTTGAAGCATGCAGCTCACCCAGATCCCTCCTCCTCCAGGAGGGTTCTTTCCTTTCTGACCCCAGCTAAACCCTGTATCCATCCTCCTGGGCAGGGGATGTCCCTGTTCCAAGGCTAGGGGACTTCATG